ACTATCAATACCATATAATAAGCTAGATTACTTTACTACATTAGCTCCAAACCTCCAACATGAACAGCAGATGTGTATAGTGTATTGATGAAGTAAAACTTATCAAACTGACAAAATAATTAACTAATGAATATGTCTTAAAAACAAAAAAAGGGCAGTCCATTTTGTGTTTGAACGATGAAAAGAGTGGAGAAAGAAATGGCTAAAAAAACTAAACAAGTACTTCTCTATTAGTTACATATCATCACTAGTGCTCTCTTTTTTCTGCTGCCACCAATACTTCTTCCTGAGCATTCAAATGACACACACATAATACCATGTAGTAATTAGGTACCACCCAATTGGCAAGATTTTGGCCTCCTAGGATATTTGCATTCTTGGGTGCACATGCAAATGGGAAACATTCAGTTGAAAGCTAAGCCACATGCTGCACAAACTTACATGCTATAGATGCAACTGCAACATTGAAACACATCCTATATTGCCTGCCCTTGAAATAACATCTTCATTTTTTCAAGATGAATAAATTAATAATTTTTCCAATTCAAAGACGAGACAAGCTTCTCTTGAACCACATAAGCCCATGGTACTCCTCAATTTCACAACAAAACATAAACATTCAGTTTAACATGCAACACATAGCATCCGAAATGCAGGGTGAAAATCTGCAACCCTTATAAAACAGGCATGATCTCTTTAAAAAGAAATACAAATTCTGAGAAAGACGGTAAATATAACAAAATCAATTAAGACTTTACCACATACTGCCACGGTATTTAAGCGTGTAAGGCCCGCTCTCAAGCGATCGATCGAAATGGCTATGCACCTTATGCTTCCCTTTCCCGCTCTGGTCAACCAGAGTCAGCTCGAACAGCGCCCGGACGTCGGTGCCCTCGCTCGCCAGGGCGATGAATACGGACACGTACGAAGAATTGTCCTCCGGGTTCTTACCGTCGGGGTAGAAGTAAATCGCCCATTTGTAGCCTCCGACGGTGAAATCGTCGCTGGCTATGTGCTTGCCGATGCCCATGCCCTTGGCCAGAGAATACCCCTGGATCACGAAATGGTGCGACCCGTTTATCGTCTCCGTCACGGAGCGGGAGCTCGTCGGCGAGATCAACGAGCTCTGGTTCGGGGTTTTCTCCGGCGTCTCGGACATTCTTCCGGGGCGATGGTTCTCTGGATTCCCCCCTTTTTTTCCCTGAATTGGGCGAGGTTAGTTTAATTGTTAGGGTTTACTGGTTCGAATTTTGTGGGGCGTTGCGTTTTGATTCTGTGGTCGTCGGAATTATTGGTGGAGGCGACAAAGGCTCGAGTAATTGGGTTAGAGGCACTTTGCCGGTTAATAGAAAATCTCCAATAAAATTCATTTTCAAACATAATTCTGAAATATCTTATTTTACTAGTATAACTTCCGTGTATTACACGCGGTGCTTGTTAATTTATTTTTAAAATCTAAAATTAATGAGAAAAATAGTTAAAAATTTAAATACATTTTATAAAAATATATATTATTATATATTTAGTATGACACTTTTTATTTGTGCGACTTACCTGTGTTATATTATAATAATTTTTTAACTTACAACATATAACTACATTAAACATAATTATATCAAGAAATAATTTTATTTTTCTAATAAATTTTAATAAATATAATTATTTATTATTATTATTAATATAAATATAATTTATTTATTTCAATACATACAATATGGATGTCAAATCGAAAATCATCAAAAGATGATTAATTTGATATATTGTATATGTAAAACCGATAAGAAATACAAAAGTTATCAACTTTTGAAATATATTTACAATTCAATAGCTAATTGAAGGAAACAAATCAAAAGTCAGGGATATATTAGTCACTTAGTGTCTCACTATGTAAAATTACAAGGAATTAAAGGGTTATATTAGTACAATATTATTAAAATACTTAAGTTAGCTAAATAATATGTATGGAATGTCCAAACCTAGATTATTAATTATTAATATATCAATATTATTTGTCCAAACCTAATTACGAAGCATGATTCTTCGTCAAGTAGGATTCAAAAGCATCAGAAGCAGCCACGTAGGCTCAGCGCATTCGGGAATTATATATAGGGAGGATATTAAATTTTAATTTTTACAATACAATCCACACATTTATTTAATAACTTTATTAATTATAAATTATTATTATTATTATTATTATTATTATTATTATTATTAATAAATTGAGAAATTATATACACATGGTAATATAGAAATAATTTCTTATGAAGATAGTCAAAAATTTAGTTTCCTCGTATGATATATTTACACAGTGTGTGGAATTTTATTTTGCTTATTGCAACTTAAGAAATATTATATAAAGATGACATTGTTTTAATTTAGTATCAATCTCTTTATAAATGTTCATTTTATAGGTGATTTA